AATACCTGGGGAATTTTGTCTGCTTTTGTTTTTCTTTTTTTAAGTAGACGCATTACATGAGTTCAGTCTTATCAATTCTCTTACTGGGCTTCAGAGGGCTGAACATTTTCACATTCAGAATTGTGGATCTTGGGAAAAGGGAAGAAAAATGAGTTAGAGGGAATGAAGGAAAATATTAACTCGATGCCTTTAATTTACAGCAATTCTGTAGTTCTTTTAAATGTTCCTTAGTCTTGCTGGTTTTGATGCCATTTTAAATGCCAACTGTGCCTTAAATTTGTTCACTTTCTAAGCATGTTAATGTGAAGGAAGTTTGTTTTTTTTTCCTGCAGTTGTGTTATGTAGTATGGCTGGTTCTGCTTGAATGTCATTACAGCAGCGAGATGTTTCAATGTGCCCTGTCAGGTGGCAGCCAGCAGCTGTGCATGCCAAGTGCAGGTCCTTCTCTATTGTTTCCTGGCTTAGATCTTTCTGATATCATTTCTATGGAGATCATCTCACTGGAGAGAGTAAAAGGGAATTTATAAAACTTTTAAAACTCTCTTTATTTTTACCATTCAACTTGTTTCCATGGCAATGGGATCTATAAGATTGTCAGTAGCAAAGAGCTGAAAGTGAGAATTCACTTGTAGATTTTATTAGGTGACTCCCAGCTGAGATCTGCAAATACTGGAGAGCAAAATAAGGAATAAAGCATTTAGGACGAGAAAAAAGGACAAACTAAGATATTGGAAAAAATGGTGTCTGCTTTGTTTTTATCCTCATTGGATGTGATAAATAAGGAAATGCTTATTTAACTGTTCTTGGGCGTGTGAGTTGTGTGGACACACTTGCAATTTTCTTCAGACTGTTTTTTAGGATAGCAGCAATTCTGTATAAAAAATACAGTCCATCCCTTTTATAGGATGGGCTTTTTGACAGAGACCTGACCATTTCAATGGATGTCTGTGTGCAGTGAGGGATATGTGTCAGCAAATTGCATTGCTGCAGTTCAGGTTCAGTGTATTTTCAAATGTTAGCTTATGTTTTTTGTGTAAGAAGTAGTTGACAACTCCATTTCTGAAATTACCTACCTTGCTGAAAGGAACTGGTTTGCTAACCAGTAAACCAGATCTGTGTGGCATGAATCTTACATGTTTTGTTGCTCACTTTAGAATGGAAATCTTTCTTCTGTTGACAGATAAGAAATAAGACTCCTCACCACTGAGGATTTGCCTTAACAGATGTGTCCTCTTAGCAGGCAGTAAAATGCGGGATAGCTGAAGTCAACAGATTTTGCTCCCCAATCTCATATCCCATGTTCTTTCTTTCAGTTCTCTGCATGGAAATCCAGTCTTTTCCCTTTGTGTTTTACTCAACAACAAACTATTTGTGTAGAATATTTTACCCAGGGGTCCCATGGTGTGCTTGATATCCAAATGTGTTGATGTTAAGTCTGCCACAACCTTTTCTTACTCGAGTGAGCTAAGATCCAGTGGCTAGGTGGAGTAAGTGCATAACCCTTCAGTTTTAGACAATTATGCCTTGAGCAAAAAGGCAAGCAGAAAACAGGGAGGGAAATTTCTAGCTTAGAATAAAAATGCAGCAAAATTTTTAAGAGCAGATGGTCTCTTCCCTAAACTGCTGAGTGAGGGCCTGGGCCTAAGTAACCAGTGTGTCAGTCCTTTGTGTTCTGCTAAATCCTGTGTTGCATGTGGCAAATACTGAGCAAATCATGCCAATTGTGAATTTACCATCTCTCTTCTTCAAACAGCACAATATGACCTCAAAAAGAGATCACTTAAGAGAGCGAGCAAAGTTTAGAGATAAGTCAAGGTTCAGGATTTGTTGAAATAACTGGTGTCTTCAGGGAAATTATGACAGTTTTCGTCAAGCTGAAAGTGGCCCATTGTTTGTTCTTTACTGTAGCATGGTGTCACCAAGATGTTTTCTCATCAGTCAGTGATGTGTTTAAAAAAACCCATGAAATACATTAATCTCTTATTATGGTGTTTATAATGCCCTTGGTGATACAACCTACTGGATTTTAATAACTAGCTCATTCTGATTTTGTAAATCTGCAGGGTTTTGGTTTAAAATAACAAAATGGGGAACATTGAAAGAAAATTTCAGTGTTATATAGCCAGTACAAGATTTAAATTAGATAATTAACTCTTTATAATGGTCTCTGTACAGCTGTTAGATATTAGTGAAGTCCAAAAATGGAACAAAGAGGTTGTAAAGTAGCTCGTAGAGATATGAAAACAGCTGAGACTTTATCTAACTAAAATCTCAGTGTGATTTGTAGCCTAATCTCATATTCTGTGCTTGGATGTGACAAGTAATCTTGGAATCTTCTTTCTACCAGTCTTCAAGTTGTATGTTCTTCTATTTAAAAGACTCCTCCTTTACGATACATGTAAAATGTAACCTCTTATTCACACTGTTGTTGATTACAGTATTAAACTAGTATTTTTAAGTCTTTCCTCCGAAACATGTTTTGGGCATTTCTTCTTCATAAGTTCAGGAACTCCAGATGTAAGCATCTCCAATGAGATGCTTCTGTTCATTTGGTTTTGAGGTTTCAGGGAATAATAGTTTCTTACAAGTAAAATGTTTATAAATGCTTATAATTTTATTAACTAGGAGTTTTAATATGAAACACACCCTAAAGAAAACTGCAGTGTATTTGATAAATTGTTTGGCTTTTTGTTGTCTACACTGAATTTAACTATTGCTTTTCCTGACTGTTTTTACCAGAAGAGAAATGCAACACTTAGGTAAACTTAAAAGCAGATTGTATTTCACACAGGAACAATGTGCCCTTGTCAGAGACTGTCACAGACTGAGTTCTGTCACAGACTTTTCTGTGGCACTAAAGTGGCATTTTGGGATGGTGGAGTTCTCCTTGTTTGCACTCAATATCTGACACCAGTAATAAAGAGCATAAGCCAACAGACTCAGCTGTATTTACAAGCATGTCCCCGTGCAATGGCTGCACAGAAATATTCCATGGCAACCCTTTTGGAAATATTTTATAGGTATGATGTTTAGGCTACTATTTCTATTAAATAAAATGTTTGTCTTGCCCAGTGGATGAATTCCTATAAATTGGGCTATCTGGGAGTAAAATGGAAAGGCACAGGCATGAAACATGTGAGCTCTGCTTTGAACCAACTAAAGCACCATCCATGTTTGATCAATCCATCTTGTTTTAGTCTTTGAAACCAATTACTGAAGCCCTGAACCTTTACTTTCCTACAGAATTAGTAGATTTGTATTATTAAGCACACAGCTAAGAGCTAACTTTAGGGCTTTAATTTCTATGTTCAGATTGAGATATTGATTCAGAGTGAATATATAAATATTTCTTATGAGAATCTCATGGCAAGGGTAGGATCTGTTGGATATGTTTTCCTTAATGTATTTAAGAGACAGTAGTATGTCGAGGCTCTTTTGTTTTAAGCTAGTTTGGACTAGTTCTGAAGACTGTTCTTTATTTTAAAAATTACATTGTTTTTAAACCACACACTTACTTTTTTAATTCTGGGCTTGTTGCAGTGGGGTATTGTTTGGGTGATTTGGTGTTTGGTTTTTTTTTTGGTATTTGGTTGTTTGGGGAATTTTTGTTCTTTTTGAGACCTCTCTGGAGCACATAACATATCTTACTCTTAATATGACTTGATACACAAATAAATGTAGAAAACCTTTTGTGCTTCTGTTTGTTTATTCTCTCAATTTACATTGTGGCTACATTTGTGTATAACACTTATTTGTATAATAATGATTAAATGTAACGAGGAATCATCAAAAGTGAGGGCCCTTATTTTTCTGCATAGATCCCAGCTGGGTACTGCAGTGACCAGGAATTCCAATCCTATGATTGCAAGTGGCAGCACTTGGAATTATTTTTTCAATGTGAATTCCAACAACTGTTTGAGTTCAGACTTTTCAGACTAATGAAGCCACAGGTTCCACAGGTTGGAGCGGTAGTTTTTTTGTTGTTTGTGGGATTTGTTTTGTTGTTGTTTTATTTTTTTCTGCTGCTTCTACCGTGATGGATCAGCACATTTAAAAGATGCACTAAAACTTCTGGTGGGGCACAACATTTTTGGATACAGAACTATAACTAGTCCTGTGTTTTGATATGAAAACATCTCTCTATCTAGTGCTGCATTGATATTCTGTGTGCCTAGTGAAAAGTTGACTATATTGAAGCTATTTTGGGGATGTTTGTAATCTTTTGGAGTAGCTGATTATGTAATAAATTAGGCATTTGATATGAAACACATGGATAATTTTTTTTTTTTTTTTGAGAACCTCTATGCAGGAATTTCCACCAGAATTTGAGAATGTTTGGTGAAGCTGATGTAAGGAAAACCTGGAGGGGGGATAGGGAGGAGAAAAAGGCTCCTCCACCTTTGAACTCCAAGAGAATTCGTAGAGGCAACAACAGAACAATGCCTGTGACAGTTGGGTTTTGGTTTGTTTTTTTGGTTGGTTGCTTTTTGTTTGGGGGAAATAAGTGTAATACAGGTCCTATGGAGCTAGAAATGAAACATCTCTATATACAGTTAAATGTTTTTAGGGTAATTGTGTAAACCAGTGAGTGCCATGGGCCTGAGCTGTGGAAGTTGCTTTGAAGACTGCTGGAGAGCCAGCCCCCTGGCACACCAACCAGGAATGGTCTAGAAGACTTTATCTGCATAGGCGACTGTGTGACATACCCAGGAATCTTCTCAGTCTTAATAAATTTGCTAATATAATCATGGCCAGTATTTCTTTCTTTGCTGAGCCCTGGTAATTTTTTAATGTTTCTATTAATTGAAATTTCTGAAGTAGCTCATGTTCTGTTCTATAGTTGGATCTGCTTTTAACTACTGTCTTTCCATCAAACTTGAAGTAAATAATTATTCTTAGTTTAGCCACAGGTGCATATACATGGGGCATGTGTATGTGTATGTATGAATGGGCTCTCTGGGTATGCATATGCACAATAAATATTTTCCTTTTCTTTTCAGTGGGATGCCATAACTGAGATGGATGAACACAACCGTCCCATTCACACTTACCAGGTGTGCAACGTCATGGAACCAAACCAAAACAACTGGCTTCAAACCAACTGGATCTCCCGGGATGCTGCACAGAAAATCTACGTGGAGATGAAGTTCACCCTGAGGGACTGCAACAGCATTCCTTGGGTACTGGGGACCTGCAAGGAAACTTTCAATCTCTACTACATGGAGTCAGATGAGTCTCATGGAGTAAAATTCAAGCCAAACCAGTACAGTAAGATTGACACTATTGCAGCTGACGAGAGCTTTACCCAGATGGATTTGGGCGACCGCATCCTTAAACTCAACACAGAAGTCCGTGAGGTTGGGCCAATAAACAAGAAAGGGTTTTATCTTGCTTTTCAGGACATTGGAGCCTGCATTGCTTTGGTTTCAGTCCGTGTTTATTACAAGAAGTGCCCTTTCACGGTCAGGAATTTGGCCATGTTTCCTGACACCATTCCAAGGGTGGATTCTTCCTCTCTGGTGGAGGTTCGGGGCTCCTGCGTGAAGAGTGCTGAGGAACGGGACACCCCAAAGTTGTACTGTGGGGCAGATGGGGATTGGCTCGTGCCTCTGGGACGGTGCATCTGCACTGTGGGATATGAAGAACTGGAGGGCTCCTGCCATGGTAGGAAAACACTGGTGGATTTTTATTTTCTTTTTTGTTTTTAATTTAAAAAAGTAGTCCTATAATGTCATATGTACCTTGCATGTTCTCTTCTGCTGCTCAGAATAATTTCACAATGACTTGAGGATAAGATACTCTCTTCTGTAGTAATAATTGTAAAGAAAGCCTCAGAAACCACTGAGATGTGAGTCTACTGTGATTTACATTTGCTTTTTAGCAAAAAGGGAGAGAAAGAGTCCATATTCATAAGTTACATAAATGACTGCTGTTTTGCTGCGGAGTTTCTCAGATTCAATGGTATTAGGCAAGGAACAGAGCAACCTTAGATAATGCAGAGCATTAAAAGCATTGTGCATTGTAATCAGAAAATGAAAGTCACTTTGTTGTCTGATCTTGCTGGCATTAATTATCAAAACATACTCATTGCAAAGATGCAATGTTGACAATACCATTACTGGAAGCAAGCATCATTTTCTACATGAGGTCAAAAGGTTTTTCTCTTAATGGGATAAGGATTTTCTTTGAGACTTTAATGCTGAATGAATTTCTGTCCATTATGGGAGTGAGTCATACTCTGGATCTCTACATGAGCAGTACAGCCAGCAGAGTTCACCAAAAATGTTTTCTGCTGTACATTGACTCCTCTGGTTTGTTCAATTTGTCCAGTTTGCTGCTGAACAGGTACCTTCTAAATGAAATAGAGTTCCCAAAACCACAAATGTTTGCATATTCTTATCTATTTGCCCCAAGAGTAACAAATTACTATTTTAGAAAATTATAATCTAATAGAACTGCCATATCTTTTGAAATCATTTTCACTGGTATCTGATGTTGTCCATTCGCTCTTCTTCAGTGTATTTCAATATTAGTGCTACTTTTTTCTGACAGCTTTCCAAGCTATATTATTTTTGCATTGCTTCATGAACATCTTGCCTAAGGCAAACCCAAATGCAGAAGAGGCTTTATTAACTAAAGAGCAATGATTAATTTTTCACTGGTGCCCACTCTGCAGTGTCTAAGGGCGGGCATATTTCTCTTTGTGCCAAAACTGGTGGTGGAGATGCCACTTGGACAACTGGAAATGCGTTTTTACACTATGACTGTTGTGAACTGAAGTGAGATTGAGAGCAACCTTTCAAATAGCCAGAATGTCTTATTTTGACACTTTCCTTCTTGACTCAGGTGTGAATCAAAAATTTAGTTTAAAAGACCTGTTGTGTCAATGAGACCTTAACTAACTCTTTAATACCCATCAAATCATGAAATACCTGAATGGGACTAACTCTCCAAGGGAAAATTTGAAATATTTACATTCAACTTATTTTCATAGAAGCGGGGTTGTGGGGACTAGGTGGGGGAAGAGTAGAAACCATTATAGTCTGATAAGAAGATCTGAGATATATTTACACAATTTTCATGTCTTCTAGGTCCTTTCTGCAAATCCCAACCCCAAACCCTTTGTCTTTCCCATTCCCTCGCTGGAGTTACGAATTTGAGTCTTGAAAGTATTTTACATCGTTGTGTTGGTACTTCTTCGTAGTCATGCTCTGTGAAATATTCAAAAGAGAGAATTATTTCTTTCCTCTACATGCAAATAATAGCCAAAATAATAATTTTGCATTTTGAAATCTGTTCTGACAACTAATTGGGTGGTGGGCAATACTTGCTAATAGTTGAATGTTTTCTCCTACTTGTAAATGTTGTCAAACTGATTATACACCGTCATGTGGCTCAGTGGAGGAGTAAGCACTTTGAGGTATATAGGGCTTATCTGTCATAGAATTTAAAAAATAAATTTCTATTTTGATATTTTTGGAGACAAGCAGTCTCTGTTCAGGAAGTATTAAGTGGCAAAAGGAAAGACATTCTGCCTTTGTCATTGCACATAGTTTTACAAAGCAGTAAGAATGGGAATAAAAACAGTCTTTGATCAGTTTTACTACTGCTATTAAAATCATAGGTCATTTTTAACTGCCAAAATCTAGTTTATTTGCTTCCCTGACTGGCAACATTTCAGTTATTTCAATATATGTGGGTTTTATGTGTATCTCTCTTTGTCTGTGAATCCATCAGTATTCCCTATCCATCCTATTTCCTTTTAAAAGCACAAAAGTGTGTGAGAAGAATTCCCAACCAGTTTAAAATATCCATACTTATTAAATGTATACCCCAATGTGTCTAGTCAGTTCAGAGGCAGATTGATGGGGAGTTTTTCATTAATTTGGAAATGTCTTCCTTTTCTGAGGTCAGTGGGGAAAAGTCTCATTGATTGCAAGATGTTCACAGGTATTTGTGTGTTATGTACATTTCTTAAGGGGATAACCTGAAAAAATACCATCTTCTCTAAACTTACTGTGTAAACAATCTATCATCTTTGGTTTCAATCTACTTTCTAGATTGTCTCCTCAAAATCCTGAAATAACAGCAACATTCACATGTTCTTCTGTTTCTGTAGGCATTAATGAATAAATTAATACCAATAATTTGGTGATATTAATCATAAATGGCTCTAATTGAACTGCTTTGCTAAACCATTGATGCCAGCCCCATTAACAAGTTAGAGCTTAAAAAGGATTCTAATAAACATCACTTAAAAGTAGCGAGTTCAATGTCATATATTTCCTGAATGTCAGCCCGAGACAAGAGTTGTACTAAATTTAACAAATGTATAATATATAAAGGTCATATCAGGACTTTGTTTATGGTTTATTTTATGGTTTATTTATATTTTATTTTATGGTGTTTGTGGTTTATTTTACACAGGAACAAACAATCATGATAAGGAACATTATAAACTCAATTGTAATAGCTCTGTTTGGGCATGATACAGAAATAATTGGATTATTGTTAACTGAAGTCTAATTCTGTAATGATTTACCAAAAATTATCTGAATTATCAAGGTTAGCAATTAATGGCAGATAAAAAATTAATTTTATATAGGAATTAATAGTTATTATAGTAATTTCAGAATATATTTTATTCTTAACAAATCAAACACAATGCAGAAATGTATTTTACCGACCATAAAAACTGATTCTTCTTGAGGAACATTCTCAGGAACTCAGCACCCCCAAAGGATGTTATGAGGTATAGTTGAAGAAGCTTTAAAAATGTAAACCAACAGGCTTTGACAGACTCACCTGGTTTATTTTAATTACAACAAATACAGTAAAAGTGGGAATGCAACATTCAAATTCTTTGACCTTGAGTTGACTGAACAATGCTTCCTAGGGATATTAATGCCTGAACGCATTGAGTTTTTAGTGGAACAAACACTTCTTTTCCTTATTCATTACTTGAATTTGTGGAATATTTCAATGTTAGGACCTTGGCTTTTTCTTCTTAAGCCATTTCATCTGATTCAATTAAAAAAAACTTTTCATTTTGCAAATATGAACTAATACCCTCCTCATACATGTACCTGTAGTATGTCTTTGTTTTTGGGAAAGCAAGTAGTTAATGTTAGTCATACTTTAGTTACCTGTATGTTGGCAGCAAAACAGGAAAAATGGGGGGGAAATGTAAATTGGAACTGCAAGTTTAATACTTACAGATAGAGGACTGTAAAGTTCCTTTAGATTTTTCTTCCATATGTTTATTTACTCATGAGATCTAATCTTCGCCAGGCACTGAAGGAAGATCGGTAAAGGAAAAGCAGAGTAAGATTTAAACTACCAAAAAAAAAAAAAGAGAGAGGAAAAATAAAATTAAATTTAAAATTTTGGAAGACTTCAACTTATCTTTTTAAGACAAAACTCTACCACCATGGAAAACCCCTCCTGCAGCAGAGCTGGGACCTTTCCCTTGTTCCCCAAGATACAGAGAGTAAAATTTCAAATTTCTATTTCCTGCCAACACTTTTTGGATAGCCAAAGATAGGAATTTGTCAAAGAGGATGAACAATTGGAGACTAGGATGATCCACTGACTATTTTTTCTCTGTCACAGAATATGACATGTACAGAAGGTCTCCTGGGACTACCTGCAGCTCCTGGCTGTATTAGCTGATATGTTCTGTCTCCTAGACCACTGCAGGCCTCTTAAATACCTTTTTCCTTTCAAAATAGAAGGCAGTCAAGTAGGAAGATTGATCACACAAATTCTCAATTTTATATAAAATAAGTCTAATTGAAGCCTCATTTCCCCTGGAAATCGAAGCCTTTCAATTTTCTTCTTCTGCTTTCAATTTCCTCCTTTCAACTGAAGCCTCAAGTGAAAGCCCACAGGGATCTTCCCTCAAGGATCATCACTGTCAGAAAGGAGTCACTTTGAGAAGGGTCAGAAGGGGACAGAGGTGAGGGCACGTGTAGAACAACATCAGAGGTGGCCTGAAGAATGGCAGGAGTGGTTGGAGATGGTTATTTACCCATCAGGCTCAACTCTGTGGTTGTTCTCCACTATTCTTTGTTCCTATGCACTATTCCATGGTGGTTTTTGTTTAGGAAGAACCCCCGACAGTGCTCCAGAGAGCAGGGAGGATGGGGAGCCTGCAAAATTTACCAAAATCTTCCTCCCTTCTTGAGTGTCAGGGAGAGCAGTTGTATATAACAATCTTCTCTGCACTGATCTCTTAGGGGTACAATTAAAATAGTTGGTTTTTAATTAGTTGAGGGGTTTTTAATAATGAAATCATTGAATAGTTGCACTATTTTTTGCAAATAGTCATATAATTTACTGACATTTATAACAGCTTCTTAAATGTGTGACTGCTCTGAAAGAGGTTCACCTTTTTTTCCTGTGCTTAAGCAATGACAGTTTATTTTACATAATTTATGTGAGTCTGAAGAGCTTTAGAATTCGCTATTTCAATGGCAGTGCTCAAGACCTTTCTGATTATTGGTGATATCTGTTTTTCACTGAAAAACCTACTCTTTAGCCTATGTAAGACTGCAGGACACCTGTGAACACTCAACACGTATTATAACTTAGAATTCTGAATATGGGTAAGATGGAATCGTGATTTTGCAATTCCAAATTCGGTTTTTAGGTCAAACTGCTAA